CTGGAGCCCAGCAGGTCGAGGCTGCGGTGGCTGGGAGTGGCCACTGCACTCCAGTCTAGGTGACAGAGTGAGACTCCAACTCAAAAAAAGAAGAAATATTATTCATGTGTGTTGTCCCATATGATAGTCACCAGCCACAGGCAGGTCCTAGACACCTGCAAATGAGAAACTGTGATTTGATTTTTAATTTTATGTAATTTTAATTGAAGCTCAAATAGCCCTGTGTGGCTAGTGCTACCATACTGGACAGTATAGGCATACCTTGCTGATACCACAGGTTTAGTTCCAGAACACTTCAACAAATCAAATAGTGCAATAAAGCAAGTCACACAATTTTTATGGGTTCTCAGTACAAATAAAAGATAGTTTTATACTATACTGTGATCTATTAAGTATGCAATGATATTATATCTAAAAAATAAACGAACAAAAAAATACAATGTACATACCTTCATTTAACAACACTTTATTGCTAAAAATTATATGATCATCTGAGCATTCAGCAAGTTATAATCTTTTTGCTGGAGGAGGGTACTGCCTCAATGTTGATGGCTGGCAACTGATCAAGGTGGTGGTTGCTGAAAGCTGGGGTGGCTGTGGCAATTTCTTAAAATAAGACAATGAAGTCTGCTGCATCAATTGACTTTTCCTTTCAAACAAAAGGTTTATCTGTAGTACACTATGCTGTTTGACAGCATTTTACCCACAGAACTTCTTTCAAAATTAAAACCAAAGTCAACCCTCTCAAATCCTGCTGCTGCTGAATCAACTTAACTAGTTTATGTAATATTCAAAATATTAAAAATCCTTTGTCATTTCAACAATGTTCACAGCATTTTCACTAGTAGATTCCATCTCCAGAAACCATTTCTTTCTTTCTTTCTTTTCTTTCGTTGAAATAGAGTCTCTCAGTGTTGCCCAGGCTAGTCTCAAATTCCTGGCCTCAAGCAATTCTCCGGCGATAACCTCCTGAAGGGCTAGGATTACAGGTTGTCAGCCGCTGTGCCCAGCTCAAAACCCACTTTCTTTGTTTATTCATAAGAAAGAAATTCTCATCTAATCAAGTTGTATCATGAGATTATAGCTATTAAGTCACATCTTTAGGTTCTACTTCTAATTTTAGTTCTCTTGCTATTTCTACCACACCTGCAGTGACTTCCTCCAATAATGTTTTGAATCTCTCAAAGCCATCCATGAGGGCTGGAATCAATTTCTTCGAAGCTCCTGTTATATGTTGGTATTTTGACCTCCCCCTATGAATCACAAATTTTCTTAATGGCACCTAGAAGTGTGAATAAATTCCAGAAGATTTTCGGTTTACTTTGCCCCGATCCGTCAAAGGAATCACTATCTATGGCATCTGTATCTTATGAACTGTATTTCTTAAATAATAACACTTGAAAGTCAAAATGACTCCTTGATCCACGGGAGGCAGAATAAATGCTGTGTCAGCAGGTATGAAAACAACATCCATCTCCTTATACAGCTCTGTCAGAGCTCTTGGGTGACTAGGCACATTGTCAATGAGCAGTAATATTTTGAATTGCATCTTTTTTTCTAAGCAGTAGGTCTCAACAGTGTGTTTAAAATAGTCAGTAAACCATGCTGTAAACAGATGTGCTGTCATCAGGCTTTGCTGTTCCATTTATAGAGCTGAAGCAGAGTAGATTTAGCTTAAATCTTAAGGGCCCTAAGATTTTCAGAACAGTCAATGAGAAATGGCTTCAACTTCCAAGGGACCGACTGCATTAGGCTCTAACAAGAGAGTTGGCCCGTTCTTTGAAGCTCTGAAGCCTGGCATTGACCTCTCTGACAATTAAAAAGTCCTAGATGGCATCTCTTTCCTATAGAAGGCTGTTTCTTTACATTGAAAACCTGTTGTTTAGTGTAGCTACCTTCATCAATGACCTTAGACAGATCTTCTGGATAACTTGCTGTGGCTCCTATATCATTACTTACTGCTTCACTCTGCACTTATGTTATTAAGATAACTTCTTTCCTCAAACTTCACAAATCAACCTCTGCTAGCTTCCAACTTTTCTTCTTTCTTTTTAATTTCTTTTCTTAAAGACAAAGTCTGGCTGTCACCCAAGCTGGAGTGCAGTGGTTTTATTATAGCTCACTGCAGCCTCAAACTCCTGGGTTCAAGCAATCTTTCTGCTTCAGCCTCCTGAGTAGCTGGGACTACAGGCATGTGACATGACACCTGGCTAATTTTTTTTTCTTTTGTAGAGATAAGGTCTTGCTATGTTGCCCAAGCTCCAACTTTTCTTCTGCAGCTTCCTCATCTCTCTCAGCCTTCACTGAATTGAAGAGAGTTAGGGTCTCCAGATTAGGCTTCGGTTTAAGGGAACGTTGTAGCGGGTTTGATCTTCTATCCATACAATTCAAACTTTTTCCATATCAGCAAAATGCTGTTTCAATTTTTTATCCTTTGTGTGTTCACTGGAGTAACACTTTTAATTTTCTTCAAGAACTTTTCCTCTGCATTCACAACTTGGCAAACTGGTGCAAGAGGCCTAGCTTTGGGCCTATCTCAATTTTTGACATGCCTTCCTTACTAAGCTTAATTTTTTCAAGCTTTTGATTTAAAATGAGAGACTGCAATTCTTCTTTTCACTTGAGGACTTAGAGGTCACTGTAGGGTTATTAATTGGCTTAATTTCAATATTGTTTTGTCTTAGGGACTAGGGAAGCCCAAGGAGAGAGGAAGAAAGAGATAGGGGAACAAACGCAACACTGATGTTTGCCGTCTTATATGGGCATAATTCATGACACTTCAAAACAATTACAATAGTAACATCAAAGATGACTGACCACAGGTATCCCTATAACAGATATAGTAATAATGTAAAGGTTTAAGATACTGCGAGGCTTGCCAAAATGTGACACAGAGACACAAAATGAGCACAGGCTATTGGAAAAATGACACTGATAGACTTGCTTGATGTAGGGCTGCCATAAACCTTCAATTTGAAAAATGTGTAATATATACAAGGCTCATAAAACCAGGCATGCCTATATAGCTTTAGGCAGGAGAGCAGTAAAAATAAAGCATAAGGTGTGCTTGAGGTAGCCTAGAGCAGAGTGTTAATGTAAGACATGAATTGAAACCTTTTTATTTTTAATTTAAATCACCAAAATCCTCTACAGAGAATAAAAAAGAAGAGCTAGCTGCCCTGATCCACATAGAAGTGAGGGCAAAGAGAATAAGAAGCAGATGTGCCATAAAAATCTGCTCCTCTCAAAAGTTGTTCAAACAAATTTATAATTAAAATTATAGCTACCTTCTCATCAAGCTTTAAAAGCAATAAGCATGTTTAAATTGTGAAAGACACTGAGACAAAATGAACAAAGTAGGTCAGGAAAAAAGTGGCTATTAATGTTTATGAATACAATATAGAAATTGATGCCAATTCAGAAATTTCTAGTTCTTATAACAATAGCTTTTTGTAAAATGGTTCTGAACTTGGAGTGATTTTGCCCCTCAGGGGACACTTGGCAATGTCTGAAGACATTTTTGTTTAAGGCCAAGAATGCTGCTAAGTACCCTACAATACACAAAGCAGCCCACACAACCAAGGTGTATCTGGCCCAAAACCTTGCACTAGAGTAAGATGGCACCTGGGGAACGAGTAGCTAAAAATGCAACAGAATTTAACGAGGTACTTTTAAAATAAGTTTCTTAGACACTATGAAATCTGATTTCAATTTCCAGTAGCAACATATTTCAAGAAACTCAAGACACTACAAATCAGAGGTATACTATATTATGTGTAAGTCTATTTTTTTCCTTTCAATATTCCGTCCTACTTTAGTGCCACTGGGTAGGATCCTGTTCTTCGCTTTCTGCCCAGTTATCTGTGGCATGGTAGGTATGCAAACTGAGTTTTAAACGAATAAGCAAGTGAAGATTACTAACTGGACTTCTCTCTCCAATACAGCACGATCATTGTAGCCAGTGGTGTTAGAAATGACGAAGTATCTTTGGTTCCAGACAGAGTTATTTCTCACATCCTCTTTGAGAAGTTGGTCTACATACTGCAGCTCATTATCCCAAAGTTTAAATTCCTGAAAGAAAATTTTAAAAAACCATGCACTTAGAAATGTCCCACTATTTATAAATAATAAAAGTAAATAAATAAAACTTCAGCAAAGCTAAGAAGGTAGAACTGAAGATGTAGGATTTATCACATATTTAGAAGGAAGTGATAGTTGTAAGTCAAGTAAATAGAGGGGGATAAAGTATGAAATTGAGGATAGAGCCTGGGAAGACACATACAGACAGCAAGAAAAAGGACCAAAAAAAAACTTAGGAGGAAAAAAAAACCAAACTCACTAGTAAGAGAATGAATAGCTATAATAGAGAATATAAATTTGATGTGATTTGGTATTGATATACTAAAGGAAAAGGACAGTATTCAAAAACTTACATTCAAAAATGTAAATTAAGTAAAAGGGTGACATTAAAAAATGCACATATATAATAAGATTACATTAAAATACAAGTAAAGAAATGCATAAAATTGGATTTAAATATAAATGTTCATTTTAAAGTTATTTTGATTAAAAAAAAATTATGGGAGAAAAGAACCAATAAACAATTTAAAAGAGGAGAATGGTCAAAACTTACAAATGCTGCAAAAGTAGGGGACATTAACTATGAAAAAGATAATGAAGTTATATTTCTTATTTGTTAATAGCAGAAAAGGAAGAATTTCCATATAAGTCACTGATTTTATAGTGATAACAAAAATAACTTCATTAAGGAAGATAACATTCTTGTGAAAATTCCCATGTGCTGATAAGTAGTAGAGTTCAGTGACACTAGTATGGGTCACCGACTGGTGTCCTCACACCATTAGTAGTCTGCAGCATGTTAAGTATAGAAAGAAAGAGTAAGCATTTGCAAGCTTTTATGGTATATCAATGGAACAATAATTTCATGTTTACTAAATCTAATAATAAAAAACTGGGACTTTTTTTTTTGAGTCAGGGTCTCACTTGGTTACTCAGGCTGGAGTGCAGTGGCACAATCACGGCTCACTGTGACTCTGACCTGCTGGGCTCAGGTGATCCTTCAGTCTCAGTCTCCCAAGAAGCTGGGACAACAGGTACATGCGATCACACCTGGCTAACTTTTTTAATTTTTGAAGAGACAAGGTCTTGCTATTGTTGTCCAGGCTAGTCTTGAACTCCTGGACTCAAGCAATTCTCCTGCCTTGGCCTTCCAAAGTGTTGGTGTTACAGGCGGGAGCCACTGCACCTGGTGGTTAGTATTTTTTTTTTTTTTTTTTTTGAGTTGGAGTCTCACTCTGTCGTCCAGACTGGAGTGCAGTGGCTGCTCCCGGCCACTGCAGCCTCACCTGCTGGGCTCCGGAGATCCTTCCGCCTCAGACTTCCAAGTAGCTGGAACTACGATTTATTGTAGAGATGAGGTCTTGCCAAGTTGCCCAGACGGGTCTCAAACCCGCGGGCTCAAGCAATCCGCTCACCTCAGCCTCCAAAAGGCACGGGATTACAGGCTGAGCCACCGAGCCCGGCCTGTTTACTTCATTTTTAAAGTAATTCATTTTTATTGTATTTTACATAAACAAGATATATATACATATATATAAAATACAATAAAATACATTCGATCTGTGATGGATTGGGGGGCAAAGAACAGTCCTCCCCTCAAAATGCTCTAGTATAAAATGTTAATGCCAAATAACATACAGACCAGGTATTCATGTATGTTTATAATGCTTAAAATTACTGTTTACAACTAAAATTCTATCACATTTATAATATGTATGTCATAAAATATTTTTAAAGGATTGCCTCATATTCCTACTTAAAGTAATTAAAGAATATACTAAGTTCACTAAGTTCTCACTGAAAATAACTGAAATACTAAAAAATCGCTTTCCATATAGAAACAGACTTAGAACAGGGTTTCTCAGCATTGGCACAACTAACAGTCTGAGCCAGATCATTCTTTGTGTGGGGACTGTCCTGTGCATTTTGGGATGTTTAACAGCATCCTGGCTTCAACCCACTAGATGCCAGTAGCACCATGCCCAAAGTTAACCAAAAATGTCTCTAGACACTGTCAAATGTTCTCAAGGGCACACAATCACTGCTGATTGAGAACCACTGACTTACAGGAATTTAAAAACGTATATATGTCCCACTTTTAACTTTGGGACAAGTTATTTTCTTCCTTTTAATTAAGCATTTAATAATTCAGTCTTCAGAATTCATTTGCCCTTCATTATAGTTGAAATTATCTTTTAAAACTATGTTGGAAACATATGAAATCATAATACATCAGATGTGGAAAAAAAGGAAGAAATGTATGTATATTTTACTTATAAAATAAAGAGAAACTTACAAGCTGCAACACAATTAAGGGATATTTTGAAATCCTTTCTCATAGGAACCTTTTATGATAATTTTAATAAGAAGCATACTGAGTGAGGGGGTTTTTCAGAGATATTGGTAATGTTCTGTTTTTTAAGCTGTGTGGTAGATGGGTAGAGCTGTGTGTGTGTGTGTGTGTGTGTGTGTGTGTGTGTGTGTGTGTGTGTGTAAAATATATTCTTTTATAAGATTAAACTTTTTTATAAATAAAAATAATGAGTATCTTCAGAAAGTATATCCCTTTAATTAAATTTGGGAATATTTAAATTTTAAGTAAAAAAATTTTTGATGAAATGCTGTTAGCATATATAATGAATAGTGCAGAAAGTAGCAATTCATAGGAAAAATTTGCAGGAAATAACACTAGAATTGGTCGCTAGAATAATAACAAAGTACTCAGAGTTGGAGTTATAGCTATTCTATTCAGGATTTAGTTTAAAATTTTAACACATCAGTACAAATAAAATATATAATAGTTATTGCAAATTCACATTCCAAAGCTTATATATGCAAAAATCTTAATATGTAATATGCTCTTGTTAATTCAAATACAGCTGTATTAAAAATGTATGACTTTTTGCACTCAATTCACTAGCCAACACAAGATTTGATGCAAATTCAATCTAAAAAATATTTTAAATTTACTATTTTTCGTCCTTAACAGAAAACTATTCACCAACATAAAAGTTATATTATAAAGATTAACCAACACGAAGAATATCAGGTTTTAAGTATCTTAATTTTTAATCATTATATATTGTATGCAATAATTTATACATATGTTTTGGTTCAGAAGTATACTTAAACTTTCACAATAATTTTACTTATTTAGTTCAGCTAAAAAATAAAAACTTGAAAAACACTGTAACAAGACAGACAATACCTGAATAACCCACTGTCGATGCTGCCAGGCATGATAATTCTTTGCATCCTGATTAAGAATATCTGCAATAAACTCAAGCTCCTGAGATGGATCTTTCAGCCATTCCACTAATACTCGCCTATGATGCCTAAAGCCCAGAGAAGAAAGGAGAGAATATTTTTGTTAATTTACCCAAGTACTAAAATATCAGCTACATGTGTTGTATAGGTGATGTGGAAGGACACCCAAAGAAACAAAAATTAATCTCTAATTCTCAAGACTCTACTAGAGAGAAAAGGTAACACAAAGGAAGCAATAAAAGAACACTTTAAAAAGGCTAACGAGCTGAGGAACAGAAACATAAATATGTAAAATGAAATCAGATATACTAGCTTAAAGAAGGTTTATCTCGAGCTAAATCTGGAAGTCTAGAAGAACAGTAATCTTTTCTGTTCTTTAGAGACAGGGTCTGGTTCTGCCACCCAGGCAGGAGAGCAGTAGCACAATCACAGCTTAGTACATAACCTTAACTTCTGGGTTCAAGCAATCCTTCCACCTCAGTCTTCCAAGTAGCTGGGACTATAGGTGTGTTTTGCCACACCCAGACGATTTTTTAATTTTTTACAGAGATGGTGTCTTGCTATGTTGCCCAGGTATTGGAGACCTGCTCCAGTGGGGTCGGGCCCAAAGGGGAGATGAGAGAATCGGTGATAGACAGAGACCACACACCTTTGATGAGGATGGCAATCACTGCAAAACTTTATTGTTCATGAGGCTGTATTTACAATGCTTTTTTTGGCGTAATCTTAACATTATACGTATATTTTTTCAACTAGTTACAATTTAAAACAACATATGATATCTAAAACCCTTTTAGTTGACCTTTAATCTTTAATGATTTAAACAAAAATATCTATTATTTATGCTAACCTTTAACTTTATAATGCTTATGTATCTATTTAATATTTTATAATTGTAACAGCAAATATTGGCGTATGTCCCTAAGGTGTGAAACCTGTTGACGTAAGGCAAGTCGTTTTTACTTTCTTTGAGGGATGTTTTTTAATTTTTTTATTTCATCTTAACTTTTCTATTTTATCTTATAAATCTTATTCTATACTTTAACTCTATTTAAATTTTTATATCTATCATTTTTTTATTTTTATTATGTATCTTACTTATACTTTATATCATCTATGATTTATATATTATCTATTAACCAACACCAGATCTTGTGTCTCGCTTTACACATACTTATTTTTTCTGTTCCCACAGGATTTTAGCCTTTTCAGACATAATCAGAGGTCTACTACGCTTTATATGCTCCCAGGTGGAAACCTCACTGGCTCTGATCTTGCGTCCATTTATCCAAAACCATCTAACAAAATTTTTATCATAAACACCAGTATATGGTAAAAATGGGTCAAACCAATCTAAATTTTGCATACTACTTTTTCCTCTAAGCGCCTACCATATTTTATCATTAATTTTATATCCAACATAATTATCGATTTTCACTATAAAAATAACTTGTCTATTTGATTTAATATCTCTAGTGCTTCTAAGAGGAAAAGGTGGAATAGTGAAACTATTCTCTACAAAATAATTAAACTGTTCAATGTTTCTCTAGAATGGCCTGTCCTGCTGTGTTCAGTTCTGGGAAAGATTTCTTTACGTTCTCATAAAAGGGTGAAACAAATTTTGTCTCAGCTGGGGCGGGGGGAGAGAGAAGCAGAAATCTGCCTTATTTTGGTTAGAGGATTGTTTAAAAGAAGATCAAGCCGGGCTCGGTGGCTCAGCCTGTAACCCGCGCCTTTGGGAGGCTGAGATGAGTGGATTGCCTGAGCCTGCGGGTTCGAGACCTGCCTGGGCAGCGAGACCTCATCTCTACAATCAATCAAAAAATCAGCCGGGCACGGCAGCGCATGCCTGTAATTCCGGCTACTCGGAAGGCTGAGGCAGAAGGATTGCCGGAGCCCAGCAGGCGAGGCTGCGGTGGCCGGGAGCAGCCACTGCACTCCTG